AGCCTTTCGACATCCGGCCGATTCTCCGGGTCACCTTCCTGGGGCCTGCCGCTCCAAAGGCCAGCCATTCCTCCCTTCGTCTGCCACCACTGGCCCTCAGTGGGGATGGAGGAGAGGAAGGACACGGCATCCGGATCCGTAACCACGGACTCCGTGGCCCAAGGCCCTCCTAGGACCGTGCTTACGGCGGCAAGGGCGAAAACCGCCCCAACCCTCAGGCCCTTACGCCAACCCCTGCTGTGCGAGCATGCGCCGCAGCCTTGCAGGCCACAGACGGCGGTCCTCTCGGTGGACCCGCACGCAAAGCATCCAGGGAAGGTCGAGTCTTCGGCAGTGCCTAATCCGCAGTTCCCACACGGGTCACCACTCGCGTCCGTAAAGAGGGTCTCAACCCCTCCGCATTCACACGCGGTGGTCTGCGCGAGCCCGGTCCGGACCTCGCCGACGACGGCACCCGGAGAGACAGTCGTGTCCTCTTCGGCTACCAGCAAGATCGAACCTTCCTCGGCTCCTGTGGGCCACAGCCCAGGCACTGCTTCGCAGTTGGCGGACTCTACCGGGAGGACAGCCTCCGTAAGGGAGCCATCCTGGCCTCCACTGCCTTCCCTCTTCACAGGTGCGATGACCCCATCTCCGGCCAAGAGCTCCAGCGGGTTCTCCCCGCTGTACCGGAGCAGGTCCCTGCCTCCGGTACCCGGCTCAAAGCACAGAGCACCGTCGAGACTAGAAAGCCTGGACTCGAAGGCGTAGGCGCGGTCCTTCCGCGACCTACTGTAGTCTTCGCACCTGGGGATCTTAATCCCAAGGGTTTCCAGGGAGTGGCAGTCAGGAAGGGGCTTGAAGCCCAAGCCCTGCCGTCCCGAGCAATCCAAGGCGCGGCCGCCAAGGATGAGCCCATGCCAATCCGAGGTTCCTTTCGCGGCTATTTTACAGCGCACGAATATCTCTGGACCCTCGCTGCAGTTGTCGGGGGAGAGCCCCTCCAGAAAGCGGACTCTCAGCACGACGGCCCCCTTCAGGGGCACCGGCTTCCCTGCAGCGATCCCATGGACGAACTCCGGATGCACCCAGCGTTCGAACTTCACGACAGGAAACCTCCGGTCCTCCGTGCCGATCCCCAAGGCAGCAGCCCGGTTGAGGATCCCACAGAGGAGTTCCTCCGTGATGTGGTTCGAGCCTGCACACCCGTCCAGCATGCATTCCACCATGCCGTCGATGACCTGCACGACTGTTCTGTACTGGTACCCCCCGACCTCGTTCTCGCAGAGGTGCCACCAGTCCTGAGGCAGCTCGTCCAACGAGCTGAACTTCGACGACGAGCTCTTGGCAAGCGGGAAAGCGGAGGAGTTCGCCGCAACAACCGTGCCAGCGCTCCCAATCTGGATGGAGAGCGTAGCGAAGGGATTCACCATCCCGGCGCCACTCGGGGCCGCCCAGTTCGAAGGCAACGCGGCTCCCCCAGTGGCGGGAAGCGAATGGACCATGTCACAGTCCGCTCCCTTACGGCACGACCCGTTCTTCTTGAAGAAAGGGCAGATAGTCCCTGGCGGCTTCGCGCCCGCCTTGGACTTCGCCTTGGGCTTGGCCTTGGCCTTGCCTTTGGGCTGCCCTCCGGGTCCACCCTTGCCCTTGCCCTTGCCCTTCCCCGGCGTTGTCGCCAGGGTGGACGCGTCCCGCTCCTTCTTGGCCGCGAGGGCCTTTTTGCGGAGCTCCTTGTCGTGCGAGTAAGGGCACGCGTCCCCTTTTGGGCAGTTCCCGTGGTCGCGGAAATGGAAACAGATAGGCTTACCTTTTCCATTTCCTTTCGGACCAGCGGCAAGCGTGGAAGAGGCGGCCGCCTTGGCCGCGGCCTTAGAAGCCTTGAGCTCCGTCCTCAGCTTCTCGACCTCCTTCCGCGCGGCGGACAGGGCTGGGTCTTCCGTCGAACCTGCGTACACGCTATTAGCCGTCACCCGATGCGCAGCCTCACGCTGCTCATATTCGAGGACGACCTTATGCGCTTCTTCCCAGGTCGAAGGGCCTCGAAGCCCTGCGGATGCGCCGTCGCTAGGCCACAACCGCTTATCACCGCGGATCTCCTTCTGGAGATGTGGAGGCATCTTGCGCAAGTAGCTTAGGAAGAGCTCCCTCGCTGTCTTGCCAAGACCCACACTCTCCAGCTCCGCGATGGAGGCCTCAAACAGGGGCTCGAACTGGTGCCCTGTGAGACGGCCCTTAGTGAGGGCGACGTGCTCCGCGTCCACCCTCATCTCCTTCTCTTCTCGGCTCTCGCCGAAGACAAGGTGCCGCTGCTTGATCCTTTCGTAAACGGCTTGGGGATTCTCAGTAACTTCCCCGGTCTTGGAGGCAGCCTTGTACACGTTAGTAAAGGTCTTAAGCCTCGAGCCGCGGCAGCGAGCACGAAGGGCGATGAGTTTCTCCCGGAAATTCATCCCCTTGCAGTTGTTGGCAAGGCCACAGACGTCCTCGAACTCTTCGTAGAACTGGACCACGTCCCGGATGTCGGAGCGATCGTCGGTGAGCGAGGGCCATTGGAGGTCCGTCTTCACGGTCGTGATCGACGTCTGACCTCCGCGAGACGCCAAGGCCTCCTTGAGCGCCTCGGTCTGGGCCGCCAAAGCTGCAGCGAGCTCTCCGGCTCCGCCGCTGGCGGAGTGAGGCTCGCCGGGCTTATCCTTCTTAAGCCCTTCGAGCTCTATCTCCAGAGCCGCAAGGCGGGACTTCAGGGGTGAGTCCCCCGGACCAGGTTGCGGATCCTCAGGGATCGCGAGCTGAAGGTCCACCGGGAGAGGCGCCGGTGCTCCGGACTTAGAGCCCGACTCCGCAACGGCGCCCGTCCGGGCCGCCAGGGCCGGGACAGAAGAAGGAGTGCTCCAAACCTTCTCGGGATCGCCGCTGCTCTTGCCTCCCAGGGCCAAGATCAGCTCGCCGAGGCACGAGATCTCCTTCTCGACCTCCTCTCGGTCTTCCGACCCAAGAGAAACCGCGGCAACGGTAAACCTGGTGCGCAGGGCCCGCACCATCCTGGCAGGGTGCCAGTCACCTCCCATTTTGCCGTATTCCTCGGCAAGGATGGTGGCCTTGGTAGTGATCTTCTCAAGATCCTCCACCGTGACCTCTGCCTGGTGCGCCTTCAAGGCCACAACCAGCCTTGAAACCCGCGTCAGGTAATCCGCGACCGGTTCCTGGTCGGGACGGTAGAGCTCCCGCAGGTCCGCCTGCAGGGTCTCCGCCGTGACGGGACCACCCGTCCCAGCAGACGAGGGAGGCCCGGAACGGGCCGGGCCGCCGGCCACCGGCGAGAGAGCAAGCGCACCAACACGGCGCGCCGTCTCGGCCACGTCCGCCGGCGCAGCGGCAGGACGCGGAGCCGGTACCCCGGCCTCCGGCAGAAGCTCTTCAGAGCTGGGGCCCGGATCGCCATCCTGAGCACCCGGGCCCGCTTCCGCAGCTGGAGCTTCCTCATCTTCCTCTTCATCTTCTTCCTCTTCCTCTTCGGCATCGAAGTTGTCGTAGAGGAATTCCATCGTCTCCTTCCACAGACGCTGTTCATCTGCTAGCGTCGTGGATCGTCCGTCCTTCTTCTTGGTGGGACGGGACCCCGTTTCCTTACGCCAACGGAGCCAGTACATAAAGGGCATCTTCTCCGGGTACTCCACTGACCCATCCTCGATGCACCTCAGCAACGTGGCTCCTTCCGGCTGACCTGCGACCTCAGCGCTCATGGTCGCCTAGCGAAGGAGAGAGCCCCGTGCCACACAGGACCACGGCCTCAAGGCGCACGACAAGCGCGCCTTCGAGGCCACGTTAAAAGATTGCGGCGCAGCAGCCGCCTGGGTGGCCGTTTCCCAGAACAGCCCCCAATTGTGGAGAACGGAAACCCAAAGGGGCAGCACGCACCCTCGTTTTCCGTCCAAGCAGAAAGTCCAACGACCGTGACAGGTCGAACGTCCGCCCAGGACGGGCTGCGCGCAATTGCGTCGCGGCAACGAGAAGCTACCAACGACACACTGCCGTGCTCACTTGAGCCAAAAATGTTATGAATACGAATTACAGAAGAGCATGCATAAAAGCATACAGCACAACAGCCAGCCCGCAGACTATGTACAGTTACAAGTACTAGTCGTCGTCGTACTAGTAGTAGTCGTAGTAGTCGTAGTAGTAGTAGTAGTAGTAGTAGCAGCAGTAGTAGTAGTAGTAGTAGTAGTAGTGGTGGTGGTGGTAGTCTTAGCAATAGTAGTAGTAGTAGTAGTAGTAGTAGCAGCAGTAGTAGTAGTAGTAGTAGTAGTAGTAGTAGTAGTAGGAGTAGTAGTAGTACTAGTATAGTAGTAGTAGTAGTAGTAGCAGTAGCAGTAGCACCTCCACTAGCACTAGCAGTAGCAGTAGTAGTAGTAGTAGTAGTAGTAGTAGTAGTAGTAGTAGTAGTAGTAGGAGTAGTAGTAGTAGTAGTAGTAGTAGTAGTAGTAGTAGTAGTAGTAGTAGTAGTGGTAGCAGAAGTAGTAGTAGTAGTAGTAGTAGTAGTAGTAGTAGTAGTAGTATTGTTTTTGTTCGTAAAAGTAGCAGTAGTAGCTGTTGTAGCAGCAGCAGGAGTAGTAGTGTAGTCGTCGTCGTCGTCTCAGTCGTAGTGGTAGTCGTAGTACTGCGGTAGCAAGTGGTATCACCGTCGTCGTCGTGCAATCGTAATCGAGTAGCGCTGCAGAATGACCCGTTCGCTGGCCCTGGTGGGTTTTGCCTGCCTCTTTAGACTCGCAACTCGGGCTGGACAAGACATGCAACGGGGAATTGGGGTCTTCATGCGTTGAAAATGCGCATGAAAGTGTGACCCTTAAATATGCACTATTCTTCCATCAATCGGGACGACAAACCGGAGCGAAGGTTTTGTTGCTTGCAGATCAGAATGCTTCACTTTGATGTCCCGCTTGCCAAGTCTGCTCGCATAGACTGGAAACAGTCAAGGCAGTGGTTGGGCTCCTGTTGCCTTGCAGATGTCCCATTGCATTTCAATGTAGATCATCCTTGATGATACCCCGAAGACGTAAATTACGCAAGCAGTTGTACAGGTCGCCTTCAACTTCGAGCTTGAACCACTTTACAATACCGGGGGGCCGATTGAGGCGAAGCCGTTTGTTGGCTTCGATCTTGGATTTGCTTGCGTCAGCAGCCAGGTGCCAACTTGACCTATCCTGGGAACAATAGACCTGGCAGAGATCTTGTTCAGGCAAGTCCCTCTCGAAAGAGAGGCCGGTGAGATATATCGAGTAGTGAACCAGCTTCCATGCAAAAGAGCCGCCCCCCGTCCGAACAGGTCGGACATTTGCGGCATGGTCCTCTGACGGGGCAAGCGCAACAGCATCAGTCATCTGAGAGTTTGAGTTTTCGTGCCCAAGAACCACGTCAATTTGCAGACCCAAGAACGGCGCACCAGGCGGAGACACTGTCCATAAGGATCTGAAAATGTCTGCGCTGTAGATGGTGTCGCTCTCGAATGGCTGCCCATGGTAAGTTACTAGGTCTTCACGTTCTCGTTCTATGCGGGTGCGTTGTCGCTGAATGACTGTCTCAAGCAGCGCCATTTCTTCGTCAGCCTGTCGCTTTTTCCACGAGTCGCGCGAGCACCAGTCGTTCATCATGACCTCGAGCTCGGAATTGCTGATGCAGAGAAGCCCAGGCTGGAGAATTTCCTCCAACAGTCCTGGGCTTATACTCGGGCATGATGTCAACGCCACTTTGGCATTGATCCATATCATCTCCAACGCCTGTCGGCGCAAGTCCGGCAGCTGGAAGTGCACGGCAGATGCCAAGACTTGGCAGGCATTCTCCGGTCCCAAGCCTTTCTGGAAGGCCTGCATGCACAGCTCCTGGAGTCTTGTAACCTGGTACTTGTCCGCGAGGGCAGCAACTTCCGCAACAAGGTCAACCAGGGAGCCCTCCACCACCCCAGAATAAAGGAAATGCAGGAAGGCTTCCACGGCCATACTGGAGAAGTCGTTGATGACCACGCGAGCTTGATGGCCCTCCATGAAGCCCTGCGAGTGTATCATCCTGTCGAATACCGGAGACCATCTGGTCAGCAATGGAGACCACACTTTGAACTCCGTCTGCTTCACTTCTGATCCAGCCTCGCCTTCCACGTGCTCCTCCACCAGCACCGTGAAGTCACCGCCATGGCCGAAGCAGTCCATTAAAATGTGTGCAACGGCGGCAGTATCCTCTTCCGCGGCCATGGCCATAGCCATGGCGATGGAAGCTTTCCTTCTATTGATTTATGATAAGCCTCGGCTTCCTACGGCCTACACATGACAGGATTCATGTGCACGTCCTGCTCCTGGCACGGGCCCTGTGGTTTCCGGTTTGCATGGCGTTCGGGGCTTACTCTATCATGCTTTTTTCTCTCTCGAAGGAGCTTGAGCGGCTTCTAACCCACGCGCACGTTGGGTAAAAGCTCCTCGTGCAGTCAGTGCCAGATCTTATAAGATCGAAAACTTCGTCAGACCCCAAAAACGCAACCTCTAATCTGGGCGCAGTAACCCGGTTAAAACCAAGATCCCCTGCATCCTGCCTCTGGACTCGGATCAATGGAAATGCCCCTCTTACCGCTCATGGAGCGGATCATGCTCACCAGCTCGTTGACGTCCACAACCTGCACAAGCATTCTTGGCGCTGTGTGAGTTTGCGCTCGCAGTGCTAGGCTCAAGACTTGTTAAATGAAGTGTGTGGGTAGGACTCCAAAAAAAACTGGTGCACAAGGCCTCGTGCGGGAACAGAGGAAGCATCCCGAAAAATCTTGCTGCCCACGACCCAACAACTAAAGAAGGACGATGACAAAAAACAACCAAACCAGAGCAGTGGTGGACTGTTGATGGCCGAGAACTGCAACCTTGAACCAACAACTGTTTAACCACAAAGGACTTCAGGCTCTTTGAACCTACTCAAGAATCTTTCCAAGCAAAATCTGTACCAAGCACTAAGGCCGAACCATTGAAAGCACCCAAAGCTTCAAAAGAAATCTGACACACTTCAAACACTGAAGCTCTAAACGGGAACAGCACCAACCCACCCCAACCACCACCACCGCCGCCGCCGCCGCCCCCGCCACCCCCGCCACCCCCGCCACCGCCCCCACCGCCCCCACCGCCCCCATCGCCCCCACCGCCCCCACCGCCCCCACCACCACCACCACCACCACCACCACCACCACCACCACCACCACCACCACCACCACCACCACCACCACCACCACCACCACCACCACCACCACCACGCGTCATCGTAAACGGTATCGGTGCAGGGCGTCCGCCCAGGTGACCTGACCTGCTCGTTCACAGGAACCTCAATCTCCCGCACTTTGATGGCATCCACGCGCTCCTGTGCTCGCTGCTCTGAAAACTCAGAAGCCACTGTGAATCTAGAGCCCTTCCTGCATTTTTGCCTCCAAGGAGTTGTTGCCGGCTTGGCATTGCCAAATAACGCTGGCGGCAAATCTCCGAGAACGAATGAAGTCTCCCTCAGCTAAGGCCTAGCTTATGAAAACTTAAGTTGTATCTAGTCTCAACCAACACATTTTCTGTAGCCAGCACCGCTTTTGCAGCACAAGAGAAACCCTCAAAGTCCCACAGAGTTGCGGAGAAATAGTGCTCGCTTGTAGCCCCTACAACGAGAAAACTCAGAACCCTACTCTAGTTTATGGCGAACCCACAAGGCCTTGGGAGTAAGATGTTGCTTCCCATCCTATGTAAGATCCCAAGAGGGTGCACAAGGCTCGAGAAAAATATTCGGGCCAAGGCAAACGTCAATTAAACACATAAGATGATTGCGATAGCAAGCTTTGAAATACGCTCTGCAACTACACTTGCTCGGGTATAGCCAGGTGACCCAAATGTGTTGACCTTGAACCTCACTCTCAGTCCACAACGCCCAGAAAGAAGAACCCCAACCTCCCTAACCCGTAAACGCCTCAAAATGCCTGATTCCTTGCCCTGAACCCTAAACCAAGCCTGCACCCTGAGCCCAAGGACCCCTCAAGCCCCGTCCTTTAGCTTCGCCAAGCCAAGTTGGACGGCCGCACCAGTGCCCATCACCCGGAACCGTGCCACATCCGAGTCCTGCCATCCCATCGACGTTTATAAGGGTCGAATTCGGCTGTACAAGGTCTTATGACACGTTATGCGGTTCTGTGTTGCTCGCTAGCCAGCGAGAGTTTCGGCGCCGCCTGCAAAAGACTTAAAATCCAAATCCTGCGATGCAGACCCCCTGATTGATGGACTCCCTACTTCGAGGTGTAGACCTGCCATCCGAAATTCAATGAAAAAGAGAGGTCTCAACAACGAGTACGACAACCCCCTTTAAAGTCCCACACATTTTTGCTTCCACAAGGCCCACACATGGCCCAAAAATCCGAATATTACTGTTATGGCCACTATATTGCGGGAACGTGCTTCGCAAATGAACTGCGATGTGGGCCTTATCGAGGTCCACACGAAGTGTTTGCCTCGATCGGGCTCAAACTCCAGGATTCTTGTGGAGGGATTGAACCCATAGTATCCATTGTAGTTCCTTTTTTCGGTTATCCAGCTTTTTATGGTTTGGATCAAATAATAGAGATTTTGGTTAACCAAAAAAAAGGAACTACAATGGAGACTATAGGAAGGTTTGAGTTTGGGGTGACTGGCATAAGGTCAAGGCAGTCACTGACTCCGGCGCAAGGCCTCGAAGACAGTATAGAAATCCCCTTATGAGTTGTTGAAGGTGTCGAGTAGCTCCGCTGGAGGTTGTGGCTTCGGGTTTTGGGCCTCCAGCGGGTGCTTTTGGCTAATCACGGGGGGCTTGGGATTTATGCGAGCTTGCGGTTGGGCCTATTAACCATGCCCAGCGTGGCAAAGAGGTCGCTCTGAATTACTTTAAACTTGCTTGTGGCACGTAACCGGTAACTGCGATATCGCGGGAAATTTCGGCAGTTAGATCGGCCTCAAGGTCAGACATCGATGTGTTAGCACAGACTAGGAGCGTGCAAGGAGCGCTCAAGTTGAATGATCCGCCCTCCGGGAACCAAAAGGAAAATCGAGCAGGCATGGCTTCAATGCGCGCAAGACTTACTAGAATCTCATCCCGGCCCCAGGCAGGACCAGTCCCTAAATTTTTCTAAATCCAAACTCACCCCTCAAATTCAGACCCGGGCCGCTAAGAAAAGAGCTTTCTGCCAAGCTTCCGCTTCTCGAGAAAGACTTCCTGTTCTGTGGGCACCTCGGCGCATGCCTCTCGCTCGACGGCGCGCAGGTCCGCGGGCCAGAACGCTCCTCCGGTACGATTTGCATGTGTTTAGCTTTGCAGCCGTTTGAGATGCTGCGTCTGGGCTTAATATATATATATATATATATATATATACAGAGTAGATATGACATTATTATAGGGTTGACAGAATTCTGGATTTGAGGCGTCGGATATTCAGGACTAAACAGGATCGTTTTGGGCCAGGACTGGCATTGACGGAAGGACTTGAGAGCAGCTTCCAAGATTTAGGATCCTCTTAGCACTTCTACAACAAGAACCTACATCATCGCGAATAATGCCATGACTTTGCTAGTAGTCTCTTACTAACTCCCAACTGAGAAGGGAGGGTGCAGTGTTATATACATGTCGTATACAGACCTGAAACTAGAAGAGATGCTGGGGCACGCACTGTAATACTCTAATCTGCTAGGCACCTGGAGTCTAGAAGGCTTATGGTTATGAACAGGTCTAAAGGCTTGTAACTGAGGGCACGTGGCCGGTTCTTCCGAAACACCGACAGGAAAAGTGTTGAAAGCAGTCTTGTTTGCGAAACTCGCGATTCCCGAACGGTCTAGTTTCGGCAGCCAGCCATGGACAACACAAGCCCTCCAATCGTATTCGGTGTTCCCTCCATGCAGCAACGAACGCCTGACCGTTGCTCGACAGAGCATGATAAAACCCAAACCAAAACATCCGCAAGGCCCTGAACTCTGTGTGCAGCGAACGGCTAGTCAAACACTGAACCTCGGCAAAAAGCGAGTCTTGTCGGGGTCCGTGTCACGATGCCTATGAATGCCGGCTGTCTACGTAACTTAAATTTAGATAACTGTGGTGTAACTGACTGTTATAATATAAACCTCAAAAAGCCGAAGGGCCTGCCACTGCTTTCGGCACCTGGATCTCGTCTGTCGTTTCGGAGTTCCTGCAGAGCGCGGATGTATGTGCACGAGGGGGGGCCACCCTGCTTTGTCAGCCTGGCTCCCGCTTTCCTGAATGCCAGCCAGACTTGTGACTCGCATGTTTGGCAGATGAGTGCTTCGGCCTTAGGTGTAGCCACTTACACCAAGGTTAGGATGTGCGGCTGTTATTGGTTCCCTGTGCGGCTATGTTATTGGTTTCCTGAACAATCTTGTACATTACGGAACCTCAAAACTGCAGGCGTAGGGTTGTGAACCCAGAACCCGCGCATCGCTACAAGGACATACATCCTGCCCTGTGGGGCCCTTCTCTGTCATGGCAGGTCTTGGGATCTTGCTGTACTGACCGGCTGCTGCTAACAACTGGCAAAACCCCAACTTACATAGAACAGTGAAAGTCTGCCGCAACTTCGCACCGAAGGCAATGCCAATCGGCGTATCTGTGTAAGATGTTTAGAACTCGCGACTGGACAGCTGGACTGTGGCACGACGACAGTGGCCCCTGAGTAAATCGTAGGCACAGGATCGTCACCTCACGGGCTGCTCGAAAGGCGAAACCGAAATACGAAACCAAACTCGTTTGTCTGTCGCCTCCTCAAACCGGACCGGTGTCCGGGACTCAGCCGGCGTTTGTGCCCCAATGTCCCCGAATCCCGCAGTTTGCAAAATCCGTCACGGTGCGAATCTCTCCGGCCTTCAACCAGTCGGGCAGAGCGCTTACACGGGTCAAAGCTCGCACATTTAAACTTTCAACATGATTCAACTCCGAACTCCGTGGTGACTCCCAGGCCTCTTCACGTATGCGTGGAGGGCTTGGGCACAAGACTCGACGGCTGCCCTGTCCAGGCTTCAGGCTGGGTTCGGCTTTGGCTTAAGTCTCAGAGCCGACAGAAAGAGCCATGCCAAACACAAACACACCTTGATCGGAAAAACAAGCCATCCACCCATCAGAGAACCCTAGTCTGAAGATCTGCATGGGGCCTTCTGACAACATGTTTGTGGAACTGCAGATAATTGCCGCCACTGCAAGACATTCCCATCCCAACCAAAGGCCGTCAACCAAAACACCTATATTATCTCAGCTAGAAATACTCCAAGGACCGCTTCTGAGACTTGACTTCCGTGTGAGCAATGGCACCCATATCGCTAGGTTCTTGTCTTCGGGGCTCACGATCTAGACGTTAGACCCACGTCTGCAGTTTAGACAAATCCAAGACCGATGATCAAACATCGAAAAGCCCAACCTTGAGAACCCCGATCCCAGCACAGGTACGACGGACATGCTGAATCACCAATGCAACCTGCGACTCCTGGTGTAGAGTTGCTACCAGGCTTGTAGGTCTACCAGAGTCCAAGAACTCAGAAGTACGACAGTTAGAGAACCTACTGAACTTTGTCAAGACATCCAGGCTTGGTTGGCCAAGCGGCATGCCTAATCCTGATGCGCCAAAACCCTGTACATAAAGTCTATAAAACAAGACAATGGGTGTGCTGAGGTCCAAGCATCTGACCCGAAATGTCCACCCTGGCGGCTTCGCAGCTAACCTTGTCTCGGTCGATATACATGACACGTTGGGTTGCTTCACCTCGTACGCTCGTGGTGTCCGGCCACACCGGAGGCTCACTATGGCGAAAACAATCGAACATCTGTATTCGGCATAAGATTCCACATACTTGCTATGCAAAGTGGTCCGCAAGCAATCGTAAGTGAAACCAGCAGCTGAATTCGCGTTTCGGCATGCAGCTGGACCGTCAAGGCTTGGGCAAGGTTTTGGGCTTTGGGGGCCGGCATGGCAGTTGGTTGTCAAAGAAACTTGACTGCGGCTTCGGTTTATGGTCTTATAGGCAGTGCAGCCTTGCACATAGACGCCTGTATATCCCGAAAAAAACCCTAAACCACCAATCCGAAACTGCCGATCGAGCCTTCACGCCGAAGGTTCGCTGAGCAGCCTGGCACCCGCGACCCACCCCTGGAACTTTTTTGCTGTATGTTGTTAGCAGAGGCCCGGGTTCACAGGATAATACGACTAGCGGCACCCATGCTCGAAAAGGCGCGCATGCTTAGTTGTCATCCGGCGGCAAGCACCTGCTGTAGAAAACCAGTTAGGTCTGAACTGCAATGTACAGAGCACAGACTCATGCTGCATCTCTCGCTCTCTCTTTCTCTCTCTCTTTTTTTTTTCTCTCTCTCTCTCTCTCTCTCTCTCTCTCTCTCTCTCTCTCTCTCTCTCTGTGGCATACGGGGCTGTCGGGGCCCCCCGAGCCGAAGGCAAGGTCGAGAAGAAAGCTTCATATATATATATATATATATATAAATAAATATCATTTCGAACATAAAATGAGGTTGCACTGTGAACTCCTCGGCCGACATGTGCTGTGTCAGCATATCTTCTCCCAGGCTGAGAGGGCGAGTTCAGCATATCTCTCTCTCTCTCTCTCTCTTTTCTCTCTCTCTCTCTCTCTCTCTCTCTCTCTCTCTCTCTCTCTCTCTCTCTCTCTCTCTCTCTCTCTCTCTCTCTCTCTCTCTCTCTCTCTCTCTCTCTCTCTCTCTCTCTCTCACTCTCATGTATGTCACTTCTGTTCCAATAGACAACCTGCATCATCATGTTAAGGATGATACAGGACCCAAACCCGGTTCTTTTGTAGCTGCGTGAGATTCACAATGAACTACCTCATCCCGTTCCTCAGATCCTCGATGAGCTGTGGAATCTCAACTGATAGTTGGATACCCCTCTGCTGCACGTCATCACTGCAAGCTCTGGCTTGTAGGGAACGGGATCTCCCACCGAAAGCCTTCCAATCCAAGCATGATGGTTTAGGAAAGAACCTACAGGCAGGGCTGCAAAGTGGCGCCTGGATCACGGAACCACCGGGACCGATAACTCGGCCCATCAAGCTATCCTAAGTTGCAGGCTGCTCTGTTAGTCTGTTTCAGGTTGAGTGCGTGTATGCATGGATGTACATATGCGTCTATATAAGAAAAATGTACATACATGTACATATATATATATATATATGTATATATAAAGGGGGCCTCAAGAAAAACTACAAGGTTAACGGTGTTGAGTGAATCACATGTTGGCTAGCACGATACCGACGTGCGCAGTGCTGCAATACAAAGTGCTGTAGATTGCTGGTTGTTAACTTGCCAAAATTTGGAAACCGTACATCTGCACTGGCTCCTTGCTGCTGCCCAGTTGCCGGCACTGCGACGGAGATCTTGCTTTCACGTGCGGGCAGCGAAGTTCGAGGACCAAGACGCCGCAAGCTAGCCCCATAGCTCAGTGCCATCGGCCGCGAGGACCTGCTGCGTCCGGCCTCCGAAGCTTGAGCACCTCCTTGGCCGGCACGCGGTCCTGCAGCACGCCTAGGATCTGCTGGAGGTCGGGGTCGGTTCAGACTCAGCGGCCCCGGGTTTGGAGCTCGCGACGTTCCAGCTGGCGCCAGAGGCCTCGGTCTTGCCGGGGCTTCTCTTTCCGACGAGGGATCTGCGAAGCCCGGCTCGTTGACTCTTCTCCTCGGAGATGCAAGTTCAAAGGCAATACACTGTCTTGAAGACAAACACAGCTCAGGGGATGGCAGTGAAAATTGACACCTTACATCGATGGAAGGAAAGGGGAAGTTTGTCTAGAAAACGAGCGCGCTCTCGCAAAGAAAAGAAAAAGGCTTCTGCTGGGCATCCCATGTTCCGTTTCGCACGCCGTGGCTCCGAGGTTCCGAGGACCTCCCCTAAGGCCTGGGCCTGAACGGGCACTGCAGATGCAGCTTCCTCCTCTTTCGGTCTGCTTGTCGCTCTTCGCCGGCGCAAGGCATCAAGGTTCTGGATGATCCCTTAGTTTTGAAACTTGGCACGTATGGCAACGCGCACACGCGCACGGAGAAAGTTGTGAAGCGTACATTTGCACAGGCTGCCAGCCTCTTTACATGACATGGGCCAATATAGGGCCTGTTGAGGCGTGCAGTCAAAAAGAATGACCACCAACGTGGGCCTTTACTGCCTATACAGATCCAGCCCCGTAGAAAGCACGTCCAAATCTTCGAGCACCAGCCAAGCTTTGAGGACGATCGAAACGCACATATGTCAACCATGACGATGATGGTCGCGCAGGAATCATTTATATCAACACAACATAGCCACCTTGACAATGATAGGCATGCCACACTCTCCAATTCAGGGCATAACTGCGAAAGCATGCTCTGTCCTGCCAACCCCATAAGGCGCCGGCAAACATTCTTCATGCATTGATCCGCCGTGAAAGTTTTTCGGCACTTGGGGCAGTCATATGTCTGACTTGACCCGAGGATCTTCTTCATCTGGGATGTGGCTTAAGGATGACGCTTTCGGTGCTATCGTTCGGTTTTTGTTTTGGGGGTTTCTGTTTAGTGAGATGCGGATCAAGATTTTAAGTTCAGTAATTGTCTGGGGCTCATGGCTTGGCGCAGAAGTTTCCGGCATTGTGGCTTGAGCACGGATACATGGTGTCACTAGCACTGGATTTCGCCGTACGGTCTGGGTGACGCTTTCACATATCCGCTAAGGCATGCCCTCGGCTTCCCGGCAATTGCAATGAACTTGTTCCAAGTTTAGAAGATGGCTGAGCTGGCGGGGTGGCGGGGTTGAGGCTTTCACCAACCTCCGCACAGGGCTTTCGGATCATAAACTGACGAGTGACTGTCATCAAACCCACATGGTGGTTGCAGGTGGCACTCCACGGCATTTCCCGGCTACAAATTGTTCGGGATAAGGCTAAAACCATGCTAAAACCGGTGGGATTATATAATGCTACAAGCTGCCACAGTACAGGTTCTATTACAGTTCTATGGAGACTGTGCGCTTAGGATGGGCTGCAGCCTCGATGCGCAGCTTTGGCAGAAGGTGTGGCCACACTTGGACAGGAACGGCGCTCGGCTGCACTCGTTGAAGGGCTCCCAGCAGATTTCGCATTCAATTGAAATCCTCATGCATTGGCCCATCTTGAACGGTTTTAAGTTCTTGAGGGGTCTCCTATTGGTCCTGCAGCCAAACTGGTCAGTCTAAGATTTTAAATGTAACCTCAGAAAAGGCCGGGGTAGACGATGCAGTGTATTTCTGGCTTACACTGTTCTGGACAATTTCGTTCGTTCACCCTTCTTGACCACAATGTGTCATGATTTCTTGGAGATGGGCTTCTAAGTCTATGTTCCGCATGCCACCGGTTTCAAATATCGCATCACCACACCACAGAATCTGAAGCCCGAAACTTTGTAGCCCTCAGTAGTCTGACCTCAGAGAAGAACCCAATCTGGCGGCCCAGATTCTGGGGCGGCACGCCATCATCCGCAGATACGGTCCTAGAAGATTTTGCCAGGGCCGCGAGGGCTCAGTCAAATCATTGCAGAGGTTTCTGTGCAACTCGAACTAAGGCTTTGCAGGATAGGTGTTCTGCATACAGCATCACTTCCACAATGACAGTCTTTGTTACCATCGTCGTCCTTATCAACCACAAAACCATCACTCTGCAATCATTATCTTGCCAAGGCTAGCCCATTATGAACTGCAGAGTTATAGTGTGCAGAAACTACTGAACACCCGAAACAGCCCACCGCATGGACACTAGTCTCGACTGCACGGCTTGTTGTATGGAAGATGCGGAATGTCTGCATGCCTGCGGAAATCAGACATGCCACCCCAGCACGAACAACACAGACACACATACAAAACAACCCCGGCCTGTTCCTGTCCCCCATGCCCGCCGTGAACCCTACTTGTCCGAAAAGCCTTCTGAGTGGGCTCGTATACGACAGCTTTGTACCGGGCTGGTAAGCTGCTATTCGATATGTAGGTAAGTGGGCTTCGAATTCTAGGCTTAGTCAGAGGAGCGCAAGGAGCGGCAGCACATCGGGATCAGCTTCGCCTGCCCAATTTCAGGGAACGCGTGGTGATGGGTGGTGTGTGTGCAGACCGAATACGCCTCTGCCTAGATGTTCGGGTCGGAACGGCAGTACCTGATAAATGAGAAGCGAAAGACAACCCAAGTCTTCCTGCAGAGAATGTACTGCATGCGTGTCAAACCAAAGGCCGACTTTGTCGAGAGGTGCAGTGCAGCGAGGGCGGTGCATCAAAACGACAGACTTGGAGGAATGGTGCTAACGACGAAACTCTGAAAAGAGTGGGAAAACCGTGTCCTTTGAGGCATGTGGACTAAAACCCCAAAAGAAAGAGGCCCGGGCAACACAGGGTGCGGCTTCACCTCCCCCCGGGAAAGGTAGGCAACGAGAAACAGTAGATATCAAGACCTTTGGGGCCTTCAGGGCGATCAGTATGCCCAAGATCCTTTCATCGCGAGCAGCTCTAACATAACGCAGACGGGTTTATATACTTTCTTGGCCATCCCAAGCTCTCAACTCCTTGTCTTAAGCACGGCTTTAGACGCTCTCCGGCTGCCGCCTCCTCTCCCTGCTGCTGCTGCTGGCGTCGGTGCGTCAACTGGCTCAGCCACCTCGCCGGGGATCCGCAAAAAGCAGATGGACATTTTGGGATCTACCAGTGCCGGGCTTCTTTGACATACGCAACCCCTGATGCGTTAATTGGGGTTCAAAGAACTGATACGGGAGTTATCTTATGATAGTGTTGGTCAGGCTGTGGCCATGACTGTGGCTCTGCCTTCAAGGCAGGTCGGCGGAAGCGATTAGGACGATGAGCTAACTATTCAGTCCTATAAGCCCAACGACATGCTACCGACGTTGGAGGCCGCCATAGGCCGCCTACCCAAATCCGACACCATAGAACCCCAGACTAGAGTCTAAATGCAGAAACCCGAAGCTCGAAAACTCCGAAACCCCGCGGAAGCCGAAAACCCCCGAAAACACAAAGGCTCAAGGCCACCCTGACACCCTATAGGGAACTCCAGAAAGTTGGAATATGGATTAATGGTAGGATCCCCTATAATTTACCTTAAAGGGGTTACGATAATGATATTCCAACTTTCTGGCTTCTACTGTAAAACCCTAGACCGCACACCCCACAACCTCAAGAGACCGACCTCGGGGTCTTCTTCTTCTGGTCTGAGTGCGCAAGCAGCCTGAAATCTAAAACAGCTCATCTTACAAGGTCTTGTAGGTATTGTTTAGGGGCCTTTAACACTTAGAGTAAGGCTTCTGGGGGATTTAATCAGTATAGTCTTCGATACGTGTGCGTAATACTCACCATTAGGAATCATAGAACAAGTAATTATGCAACATTGACTGTGTCTTCTGCGTGGGTTTGTGCTTTGTAGGTAGGTCAATGAAGCGAAGATTTCATGTTGCTGTGGGGTTTTATTCTTTTCTGGTACGGTTTTGGAGCATTAAATGTCGCTGTTTATGTGCAGGGTGCCTGGGATTCAGCTACAGGCTTGTTGTGTTTATCGCACGGTATGAACGATGATGTAGTAGGGGTGAATGTTAACTTGCCAAAGGCTGCAATGGCAATCCGCAACATAGCTGTCCAAAACGATCTTCATTTGGGATCAACAGCGTGTTAAATACCAACATCCTTCACACTTCAAATAAAGCATGCCGTGTAGCAGACTGCGCTGTGCTCGCGCGACGAAGAAGCGTCAGCTGATCCTGCCAAAACCACTACAGTACTACAGTATATGGTCCACTCCCTAAATGCACAGGCCAGCTGTGCTGCGTGGTGCGACACATGCGATGCCAGACTAGAAACCCTCAGGCCCGCCAGCGCAAAAGACCCAATCTAAATGAAGCTTCGACATGCCGAATTAACAAGCATTTCGGCCTGAAGCAAGCTGAACTTTGTAGAGATGCCAAAAAAGCTAGATTTGGACTACCATGCACAAACCCCATATCCTGCTCTCTAGTCTCTGGATGACCTCCAGCCTCAATGATATGTCTGGAGCCGCCTAGCCCCAAAACCGGGCATCTCAACCTTGCAGACCTAGCCTAACAGCCTAACAGCGACAACTGCAGCAGGAACAGCAGCAGCACGATCACCGGCATAAGCATCCTGTACAGCAAGAGCCTCAGCAGCAACGGTGAACTCGCATTCCTCCTCCGAAAACGACTTTTTGAATGAGAAACAAACACCTGCGCAGAACAGAACAATCTGGTTGGTACTGCGTAGGCCTATAAGTCCCAGGTATCGAGACGCCTGGCACACCTTCCGGAGATCCGCGTTGCTTTGGCTTTGCTCGCCGGCCTGACACCTTCAGGTTCCAGAAGCTTTGCAATGGCTTGCAATCTGCATGTATATGCATAAACATATATATATATATATATATATACATGTGTGTGTAAGATACTTCTATGTATAAGAGTTGATATATAGCTTACCCCCTTCTGAGGGATCTGTGCAGGGGTCTCTGGTTTCTGATATGCTAAACATTCAGCTCAAGAAGCCTTTTTCTACTACCCTAAATTTCTGATACATCTTTGACGGTGCGAGACACAGGACCGCCATTTCTTTGCGAGTCGAGACCGGCCCTCTCTGAAAACCGAGCTCAAATCTCGAGGACGCAAATCCCTCCACGAAGGCGATTCCCGCTTCTTGGAGCGCCTGAGGTGTGTCAAGAGCTCCTTTGCCAGAGCATGCTCCTCCTTGCTCACGGAAGCGACATAGTCCTGGCGGGAGGCTGGTAGGAATCGATGCTTTGAACAACTTTCTGAGCTCCAGGCTTCACGCTTGAGGTGCAGGACTTGTGGAACTTAGGGTTGCGCCCAAAGCCCCATCAACGCTAAATCCCCATACCCGAAAGGACACGCCAGGAGCCTTCACCCCCTGGCCAGGAAAGCGCACGTGCCAGCGGTGCACCTCACCCTTCTTCTTGTAGGGGAACCTGGGTTTAGGCATACGATGATTGAGAGGTGTAAGCAGTAAGTGCAGCAAGTGGTTTGAGGTGCAGAGCTTGCTTGAAGGGTTTGGGAGAAGTGTGGCCCTAAACCCTACACCCCTTAACCCCTACACCCAACGAAATAGCTTCGTAAAGATAAATTCATCCTGCAGGTGACCGCATTTCGAAACTGTACATGGTGTATCAAGACATACTCTAAGTGCCCCAGGCCATCTCACAAGTTGTTCCAACTGCAGAGCAACACAACATGGTACAGCAGTCTTAAGGGAGCATTCCTGACTTATTATAGTCTATTTGTTATAAGAGCTCAACTGGGCTTTAGGCTCCTAGAACCACGCATCCCCATGCAGATGGCACGTCTCCAGCTTGGTGTCCAAGACTGGAAGTTTCGACAAGCTTGGGTGCCGCATCTTGCGCTTCGGAGTTTCGGGATTGAAGGTCATAGGTTAGAAGCTGCCCCCACCCTGTAAACTATAAGGATTATATTAGGGCCCTATTATATTCCTATAATACCACTTACAGGGTGGGGGCAGCTTCTAAGTTATAGGTTTGCATAGGCCACGCGACTTAATTGGTATGCTAGCTTGGCTTGTATCTTCATGGCCTCCTTCTCCGTTGGAAGAGAGCTTACGCAGCCCCACAACGAATCCCAATCTTGTGGTCTCTTGGGCCTCCTTACTAATAGATTAAGAGATCCTTGATGAGGGAGTTTGGAGCTTCTGGGCTTTCTCTTACCCCGACGGTCATGGAAACATCCCCTTTGCATTCAGCTGGAGTGTGGCAAGGCAACAGGCAGCCGCGCTGGTCGGCCATTGCAGGCGATGCCTGCCAGAATGTCAAAATCCAAACCCAGGACCTTAGATTAAGCTTTGCAAAGCGAACGAAGTAAACGGAGCACTCGATGGCTAGATAGGTCAGACGCTTTACGACCGTGGAAATATAGCTTGGTGTGCAGAATGTCTTGTGTCTTCGAACGTGCCTCGACTAGTTCTGTAGAGAAACATTTGTAGGCATACATGGTCAGGCGTCTGGCGTTCCCAGCCCCCCCCCCGCCAATGGTATGGTCTGACAGGGGTGGGGGGGGGGGCCTGGCGTGTGCGGAAAGGGGTTGGGGGCCGTTGGAGCTGCCACTGGATGGTGGGGTGGTGCTGGCGGCCAGGGCTCACGCGCAAGCCCTTCGCAAGCAAGCCGTAAAACCCTACAACGCAGCGCATGCCCCTGTTTTGAGCAACCTTACCTTGTACTTAAAACGCTACACCCAACCCTAAACCCCACCTAACTGCAGGCTCTAAGCCTAAAGCAGAGCATACACCGCAAATCCTCCCTAAGCCCTTGTCGACTCGAAGCCTTATACCTTGTAACCGTAAACCCAAAACTCAAAAGCTTAAGCTAAACACTAAACCCCAAAACCCCACAACCGTCTCACAGGGGGAAGAGGAACCCCACGCCCCACACCACAGGGGAGGGGGGGGGCCCACCCTATATCCGGACCATTGACCTTTGGAGGGGGAGGGGGGGGGGGGCTGCGGAGCGCGTGACCATACATGCCTCTCCTTTAGTTGTATACATCTGTCTAACCCAGGCAAAAAGCCCCCAAGCCTAGAAGCTTGTATAAAGCTCAGGGCTCAGAGTTACAGCACCGACCTGGGGTTCGGCAGTCCTGTTTCAGCTGCTTAGAGACACCGAGATTAACTCGACAGTGAGCTTGTGGGTCTCTTTGAAACCGATGAAGTCAAGGGACAGAACAGCTTTTCCCTTTTCGAAGTCGAGCTTCCTAACCGCCTCAGCAAAATCATGAGCCTGTATAAGCTTTGGGGATCGAAGCTGCGGATCAGGGCTTCGTCACAGCGTGTCACCTTTCCCGACTACATGCCCAGCGCCCGACGCCCGCGCAGACCGCATGTGAATCCTGCGCCCTACATCGTGAACCCTAGTAATTAACCCTAATTACACACCCTGAGCCCCAAGCACAAGCACTAGGCACTAGAATCACAAGCCTCCGCTCAGAGAAGCTGCCTTCCTAGCGAAGCATCGATGCGTCCATCCAGGTCTCGCCCGCAGAATGCCGGCAAATCATGGCTTCCTAACCCATCAAAGCCATGAGCCCTAAGCAAGGGCCCCTTGCATGTATCATAGATATCATCGTGTTATGACGAAACCTAGGCCCGAATTGCATCTTTCAGGGAATCTCGGGAAGCCGATCCAATGATTGTGGGCTGCCTGCCAGTCTAGGTTGGCCTTGCTGGGTTCGGGAGGCACGGTATAGGGCTGACAGTTCAAGAAGGACTCGTGGGCTTTGTCTTTTCGTTTGCAGAGCCCTTTTCTACAACCGGCCCAGTTGTGCTTTTCGGAACCTTCCTGCGGGGCTCGGGTTTTAGCGAAGTCTCGTTCTTCATTGCTTTCCTTCCCTTGCTGTTGCTCTTGTGCGGCGGGAAGTGCTTGTTTGTGTCACTTCATCGTAGTCCGGGAACCCGAAAAGGGATCCTAAGTAATGGCAGCCCTCATGCGAGCTGCAACCTGGCTGCTTGAGCCTAATTCACGTTTCGACGCTCACACTCGCAAATTCACGTTTAGGGTTTAGGGTTTAGGGGGGTGTTCGGACTAAGCGGTTGCCATTCTCATGAAACCTCTCTCGCTGCCAGTACCTTCAGCATTCCCAGGAGATCACGACAGTTGTCCTCCTGGTCGTTACGAGCAATGCTGCGGCGCCAGCAATGTCTACGGCGGTGACTCATTCTTGACCCATGGTCGCATCTGCAGACTTACATTCGGCAGTGCCTAGGGCAGCCCAGCCCAGTGACTCCAAAACAGCTTCTGAAAGTGCTGGAAAGCGCCAAACCCTGCCGATGTGAATGCCGTGATGCTGCAAGAAATAGCCTGCGCACTAGAGTCGAGTTTGGAGCAGGACTAGCACTTGTTGCTAATACCAAAATCATACAAGGAACACTACTAGTGGTACTGGTCTTGCTATCACCAACATTCTGACAACTATGAAGATACATGAAGATGAAGATGGTGATGCTGCTGATGATGATAATGATTGTTTCTGTCGTTGCTACTGCTCTTCTTCTTGTCGTTACGAGTATGCTATAGTAGTGGTCGTCGTGGTGGTGGCAGTGGTACGTAGTGGTTGGAGTATTGCAGTAGCAATAGACAACACCAGCACCAACTCAACATTAAAGCATCGACCCTGGTCCTATCCTCCTATCCCACACCACGCCTCCGAACGCTTCAACTCGAACCTGGGCATGCCAACTGCTGCACGACACCATGCTGGGAGGTGGGTTTACCGAGAGTGAGGAATTGAGGTTGAGGGCTTGCAGGTCAGATTTTCAGATGTACACAACTGCATGTAGCTCCACCATCTCTTAGGATGATGATCAGGAGGAGGATTATGCTGCCGTCCATCATCTTCATCCCCATTACCATTGCCAGCATCATGTGGCATTCTTCCAGGATTCACACAGTGTCGCTACGTACAGGTTCACAGGCTAGTTTCAACAGATACACTACCTGCTTTTCGGGTTCAATGCCGTACCCAAGCCCTGAACGAGGAATCCATAAGCCATAAACGTTGCGGGATCATCCGCCCCCGGCTACCCTTGATGCTTCCTCCTGGGTGCCATGCTCAAGAAGCCGACTTGCCTGGCTTGGGGCTGTCGAGGTGGGTGCAGCCGTTGCAACCCGAGGTATCGCACTCTCGAGGCGCCAAGGTCTAAAAACTTGGAATTTTCGGGGTATTCTGTGGGTTTAGATGCTGGCTACGAGCAACGGCTTTAGCGTTCTGTTTGGCTGGTGCAAGGCCAGTGGCACCCCACCTTCAGCATCTCCACATTCAGATATGTAAACCCCAAGCCCTCCCAACCTCAAACCCTGAAGTTGCAAAGCTTAAAGCCCCCATTCCTAAATCCCAAACCCATAACCACAAAATCTAAAACTCCAGACCCTCTGCCCTGACCACACACAAAAGCCGAAACTTTCCAGAAGACCGGGAGTTTGAAGAGTACTTCTTGGTTCCCCTGCACCCGAAGCCGGAGGACTAGCCGCATTTCCTAGAAAAAAAGCCCCAAGAGCCAACTCTCCAAAGCACAGCTTGGTTTGAGATAGAGCTAGGTATCACTGTTCGTAGATTTGTAGACCGGTAGCACGTCATTTTTGATGTCGCTAGTGCTGCCGTGCGGATCATCAACATCTTCTACAACTGAAGTTTAAACCCGAGTCACCGAGCCCCCAACCCCACTTTTTGATTCCCTCAAACTCGACACCCTTCCCCCCAGCCCTAATACATCCCAAACCAGTTTGCAAAAAAACACCAAGAATCCTGAAACCAAAAATCTACACCCCAAGGGCTTCATAGATAGAACCCAGAAAGCAACCCTAGTAAGGACCCTGAAGCAGGCCCAAGGAACACAATTGAGGAGCTCTTCTTCGCCAGGCACAGCGACACCTTGGCCAGCGGCTAAGTTTGAAACGCGAACATGCGAAACTTGATCTGATATCTTCATACCCCCCATTGTCAAAGTTTGGTAGCGGAAGCCGAAACATATTGGGAGCTCTCATCACGCGCGAGCTGGCTGAGCTCAGAGCGGAAACCAACCCCCCCTCTTCGTCGTCGCTGCTACACCACCAGCACAGATACATCATACATCTCACAAACCCGGCATCCCAAAAAGCCAAAGACAACTCCCACGACAGAAGCTTCATCAACAAAATCCTCCAGCCCGAAACTTTAAAAACAATCAAGCCAAAGCCAAAACCCTGAAAGCCAGACAAAAGCAATCGAATCGCTCCTGGGTCCCACTGCTTCGAGCCTCCACCAGGGCATCTGCCAGCGCCTTTCGAAGCCCAAGCTTTGGAGTTATCGGCTTCCTTTTTTGGATTACTTTCAGGCGTCCTTTCACTCTTCAAGGACTCTCTGTGTTCTTGTGTCACCTTCTTGTCGCTCGCAGAAAGAAGGTTCGGAACTTTGCGGCTTCGCGTCGTTTGGGTTTGGGCTGGTTTCCTCGAAGTTATCTTCGCATTGTGGGGTTGTGCAGGCGGACGCGAACATTCAAGGTTTGCAGCGAGCAGTAAAGGCCAAGGGGTCAGAGTCTACCAGGATCCCCTGATCACTCATGGGGATTTGCTTCGTGTTGTTGGAGAGTTTTCCAGGTTAAGGATATACAACAAAACAGAAATTGATTTGGGTTTGGCTCTGAGGGTCTACGTAAGAGTCTAGGGTCGAGATAAAGTCAACTGGGTGCAGGTGGAATTGGGCCCGGAAGGGCTTTTGCGCATCAGACAAGCTACACGCTGTGAGCCAAAAATCTCATGGCCTCCAGCTGCTCTGGCCTGGGTTGAAACCGAATTCGGGAAGGGAGGGGGAAGTATAAATAGGGGTTACTGTACATAGATCAGGAAACCGTGAGAAGTAGGCGTAACTATTCTAACTCCCCACAGCCGGGCTAAGGCCAAAGAAAGAACATTGCGCTCCTAATCCCTACCACATCAAGCCAAAAAGAGCCTCCACCCTATCGACTCCATCCACTATGACGAATGCTATGCCAGCTTCAAGTTTGGGCAAGCTCAGCGTGTTCTTCGAATTTGTCGAACTTTTGGGTTTACGATCTAGTCTACAGAATCGACTGTAACCTTCCGGATTGATTGGCGTCTGGGGTGCAAGAGTCTGACATATACAGTCCCTCTCCCATCTGCAACGACATCTCTTCCCCTCCCCGATCCTTGATAAACGGCTTAACCCGGCCAAACACCCAACTTCGACTGCACCGAAGGCATATTTAGTTTAGCCTAGTCTGGTTTCCTTGTATCTGGTGTGTGTGTGGATCCTGCCCTAGTGAAAGACGGGCTTTGAAGTGAAGGCGGCCATCCAGCACGAATAGCTCAGAGTTGGGGCCGTGGCGCACAGCAGCCAGGCCTTGGCAACCGGTTAAGGCTTAGGGTATTTTCCCTCCTACATAGCAAGGACGAAGCCCTGCAACGTTTAGGGTTTAGGGTTGGGGGTTTAGGGTTTACGGTTTAGGGTTTTCCTGCTTGGGTTTTGTGGCTTGGGCGGTCACACTGAGAGCATGTGCTTTGACGAGCTATGAAACTCAAGCAAGGAGCTGCATTCAAAACCATGATAGGAACAAGACTCAAGACCACGGAACCTCTCCTGGGCCTGGGGCTTTGAAATTGCTACCCACCTAGCAAGGAACACCCTTGAGAGCCAAGGCCGAGCCAGTCCTGTCGCGGTTTAGGCAAAGGGGAAACAAAGGTCGGGGCCCGTTGAGACCGTCTTGCTCTGCGCTGACGACCACCACCTGGGATGCTTGATGCAACCATTCTTGAATTTCCTGAAAACTCCAAAGCACAGTGACACCTTCTTATGCTTGCTTGCACCGGCAGGCTTCCGTGAGGCATCTCGAACGAAAGCTCTGGTGATGGCTTAGGAGGCTTAGGACCTTCGGATATGACCCCACAAGCCTGTCTGCGAACTGAGATTTCCGACCAATTGTTGGGGGGATCTGCTGCACCACCGGCTCAAAAAAGAAATGGCGGACAGCTCGCCCTAGCTGCAGCAACAACACACAGCGAAGGCCCACCTCCATTGCAGCCACCTCAGGAATGCGCAGTGAGTACCGGTTAATTGCCAGGTACGGCGGTCGGCATCATTTTCAATTACTGTATTACTTGTACAACTTCTTTCATCCGAATCCAAAGTCGCATGCTGTAATCAAAATGTTTACCCAGGCATCAATATCAAAGACGGGGACAGCAACCAAAAATTCGGCTTTCTCCTTAGATCACCATCTGGTGAAACTGCCATAGCATGCCCTCACTTGTTCCATCATTTTCTAGCCTAGGGCCTCATTACCCTGCATGACATGCGAGACTCAGCATAATGTAGACATGCTCCCCACTCTCAGTTGCAGGTTCCTGCCACATGCAGATCCGCAGTGTTTAACCCTGTAAGAAAGCTTTTTCTTGTGCATCCCACCTCTCCACGAACAATCAGCCCTGAACGGAAGCACTGGATATCCTCCTGCGGTTGAATAACCGGCTATGTAATGGGCCCTGTCTTACGAAGACCAAGCTTCAAAGAGCTCTGGGCTTGTACGAACCGGGCGATGCACTGAGGCCAGCACAAGGGCATCCATCACCGCGTGGCGCTCGGCGCGCCTGTGCTGGGATTCGGAAAATCATTATGAACATCCGATGGTCAACGTATAATTGAGAGTGATCTGGGAATCTCATCCTACGCGAAGCTACCTCAAAAACTATCGAGCATGACACCGGCACAGCCGTGGGCCGTTAACTACCGCCGCTGTAGAAGCCACTATAACAGCCGGAGCAATAAACTGGCCTGAGTATTGGTCGTCGCTGCAGTACATGGTAGCAGCAGTAGTAGTACAAGCAACACCAGCGGCAGTAGCAGTAACATCAGGGGTAGCGGTAGCGGCAGCAATAGCAGCAGTAGCAGCAGTAGTAGTCGTCGTAGTAGAAGTAGAAGTAGAAGTAGTAGTAGTAGCAGTAGCAGTAGCAGTAGCAGTAGCAGTAGCAGTAGTAGTAGTAGTAGTCGTCGTAGTGGCAGTGGCAGTGGCAGTGGCAGTGGCAGTGGCAGTGGCAGTGGTAGTAGTAGTAGTAGTAGTAGTAGTAGTAGTAGTAGTAGTAGTAGTAGTAGTAGGAGTAGTAGTAGTAGTAGTAGTAGTAGTAGTAGTAGTAGTAGTAGTTTTAGTAGTAGTTTTAGTAGTAGTTTTAGTAGTAGTTTTAGTAGTAGTAGTAGTAGTAGTAGTAGTAGTAGTAGTAGTAGTAGTAGTAGTAGTAGTAGTAGCAGTGGTGGTAGTAATCAGTAGTAGTGGTGGTGGTAGGGGTGTAGCAGTAGTGGTAGTGGTAGTGGTAGTGGTAGTGGTGGTGGTGGTGGTGGTGGTGGTGGTGGTGGTGGTGGTGGTGGTGGTGGTGGTGGGGTGGTGGGGTGGTGGGGTGGTGGTGGTGGTGGTGGTGGTGGCGTGGGTGGGGGTGATGGTGGTGGTGGTTGTGCTGGTGCTGGTGGTGGTGGTGGTAGTACTAGTGCTGTCCTTCACAGCAACACAATGATGATTCCAAATGGTCTCGTTGTCGATGCACGTACCGGGCTGCAGTACGTACCGGGAATGTCCCTCACAGCAGATTTTGTTATATCGTTTCCCTAACACACGTGGTGGTAGGCCGTCGGCAGTGCCAACAAAATTAAACCACGATTTGTGAAACAGGCCACGGATGCGTGCCGGGCCAAAAGCAGGGACAGGTGCTGTGTTGCTGTTGTCGTTGTCGTTCTTGGTGGTACGTAGGATAAGAAATTACAAAAAGCAAAGAAGGTGACGGAAAATCGTAGGATCAAGAAGCAACCCTGGGCCGGTCCGTTTGGCGAGCGCCGTCTCTGCCACGACAAAGCCATCTTCCAGGCCGACGTCAATCTGCCAGGAGGTTTCGGAGTAAAACGGCTAGCAGCTCTCGAAGCTCTGCTTTGAAAGATGACATCGACGCAATCCACAGGTCTTGGGGCTTTCAGGACTCAACAGCCAGGAGGCTCAGGACAAAGACAAAGCCTAAGAATCCGTAGCCGTCTCCGCATGGTGGCAAAAGGCTTATGTGGGCTGCTGATCTCGAAGCTTCAGCTTCTGCGCTGCGAAGATTCACGGCAAACGGCCCTCATTTTGGAACAGAACAGAAGAGTCCCTGGACCAGTAGCCAGCAAAAGACGAAAGGCAGACGAAGTTTACGGGCAAAGTTTGACATGTCGAGCTGATCTAAACTCCTACGCACTGTCAACCCGATGCGACCTTACTACAGCCTTTTCTTAAACCATAATACCTTGCATTTCCGACACTGCCAAAACCAAATATATACTTCCTGAAGCCATACCATGGCTTCATCCAAAAGGCCTGACGCCCGAAGCCCAAGGCCCGCAATGCACGACCCGAATCCAAATGCCCCGAGTCTAAACCCAAAGCCGAATCTTGAACTTACGACGCCAGCCTGGGGAGCTAGCGACTGTCCCAAAACTCGCTGCGTGAGGATAGGACAGGGAACACTTCACATACACAAGAAAGTCCTCCAAAGCCCAAAACCCTCAGCCCCCAGGACCTCATGATCGAAGCCGGCAGCCCCGTACGCCGCGCGAATCGTATAAGCCCTACGAAAACCTATAATGCCTGAAGAAGATCTCGCACAACTTCTAAGACATCCTCTAAGCCTCTCTCCTGGTGCTTGAGCCTGAAACCCTAACCCCTAGACAAAAACAAATCCCTAAACTCGGGTGCTTGGGGCGGTGGCTGCTTCCAGGATCGCTTCCTGGATCTCGGCCTGGCTCTTCTCAGAGCCGACACAGAGATGTTGGGTGTCTTTACGGTGCATGCAGGGCTTCCGAGGGGGGGGCTTTGGGGTTCTAGGGTTTGGGAGTTGAGGCTTCGTGGTTTGGGGCTCGGGGCTTCAGGGACTGCGACTCTCGCACTCGCATAAGCAGGCCAGGCTCGCGACGTCATAAGTGGTACGGTGATACCAAACGCACTTCCGAAGTAACACCAGAGCCAGTGCGAAGCAACGATCCCAAATCCTCAAGCTGCAATGTCGTAGTCTCAGCCACTGGGAGTCATTGTAACCTCAACGGCCCCAAAGTGCAAACCTGAAAGGCCTCTGTTCCGTCCCTGGCCACGACCTCCATCTTAGCAGCGGCCTCTTCACGGCAGAGCCCGGTGGTTTCGCATTGTGGATCTTGTTCGAGGGCTTAGCAAGCGAATCTTTGCCTCGTGGCGTCTTGAGAGCTTAAGGCCTGGTCGAAGGGGGGGGGGACTTGAGGCTGACACCATGCGTTGTTTCTTGCACGTAATCTGGACTGTTTCGACTCGCACGCTCGCAAAAGGCAGGCACGGATTCCAGGCAACAAGTCCGAAGTAGAACACTCAGAGGGCTCAATATCGTGTGGCAGAGGTGGTTCAACAACGGAAGATCATAACATCATGTCGGAACCTAACAATTACCGCCCCACATATGACGATGCATCACGCGATAGCCCAGTGAGATCCGCACGGGAGGACTGTGCGAAGCAATAACTTAATTGACATGCTGCTATGTTTTTTCATACTAGAACAGGAAGAGCACAGTACCACCCATGGACCTCAGCAGCAGGCAAGGGACAGGATGCACTTGTGACATCCTCCAGCTCTACGACATTGCAAAAACAAAAGGCTTTTCCACTAGGGACACTGACGAATAGACTACATACATGCGAGGGACATGTAGCATTCAGAGCAGTCTCTCAGGACAACTGTTCCAGCACAAAGCTCTACGCTCCCAATGCAGCACTCCCGCAAGGATTACCTTCAGCAAATTCAGACAACGTGGGCCGCCCGCACCAACACTTTCAGCAGATCGGGTGACAATGACGCTGCCTTTGTCACTTGCGCTCACTTCTGCCACTTCCTCCATCCGCCCTGCCAGTAATAATACCAATTGCCCTTCCAAAAGGACCAGTGCCAATCGGAGTTCGAGCTGGAGCTGGAAGTCTGGCTCTGGTTGCAAATGCTGGGAACAGGCCGGCCCAGTTCTCTGGCCAGCTCTTCGAGGCAGGGCAGCAGCCGTATGTCCATGGAACTGCTTGGAGAGTCCAAGCAGGCCAACAACAGTGCCCGACTGAACGTTATGCCGGCATTGGTGTAGACTTTCTTGACCTCCGCCGCACCTTCTTCTTGGGTTGCTTGGGTGGGAGCCCGCGCAGAATCATTTCCCGACGGCATGTTAGTAGACGGGGCCACACATGGCGGATTTGCACCTGGCATTGCAGGTGCCGTGGCTCGGCTGCTTCTCGCCGCAACCGCGAGTTTTAGGTCCGCCAGCTCCTGCTGGAGTGCCGAGAGCTTCTTGTCGAGGCATGCCGTCGCGTTCTGCGTGTCCAGGAGTCGAGCATGTTGCTGCTTCTGCTTCTGCAGAATCGAGGCGAAGGCCTCGTTGAGGCTTTCCCAGCCTTTTTGGATCATGGGACCGTCCATGGCAGAAATCTCAATCATATGCCGGATCAGCTGAAGTTACTGTTTCTGATCGCTGTAATGACGAATCCTGCTAAGTGAAGCACTGCAGCTGCAACTTTGGGCGACAAAACGACATAACAGTTGCAAAGGGAGACTCGCGCACCCACTCGATGCAATCCCTGCCATATTTGTTCAATGAGTCTCGACCGTGATTTATTGCGATGGCCTGACCCTAAAGTTCCTAAAGCCCTGAGCCTCCCGTGAAGCCTGCAACCCCCAGACCAAGCCTTTTGCCGGTCTGCCAGGGTGCCGATGGATCCAGGGGCTTGGAGCCTTGTCAGACCGGGGCACTTTTTCGGGGATCTCAAGCAAAGACTTCTTTTTGCGATGTGTTCGTTGGAATCTACCAGATTCAGCCATTTTGGAAGCCTTGCCTACCATGCAAAAGTCGTTTACAGGCATGAACTTCTTGCATCAGGACTGTGCGATCGCCTTGCAGGCATGAGTAAGCCCCTCAAAAGCCTATAGCTTCTTAACCAACGAGCCGCTGTAGACCCTATGTCCTCCTACATCCTCAACATGATTCCGTTCAACCCTCAAGCTCCCACAGGACTTGGGACCCAGCTCTTGCAAAGCAACTTGCACGGCAGCCAGCCCCTGGCGGTTCGAGCAGATGGCTCTTTTGAGGGTTTGGGCGGGGCTTTAAGCTTTAAAGCTTAGAACCTATAGACATGTAATGTGTTTGCGTGTGGTTTTGCAAAGCGCCCTTGACATATGGTTCTTGCCGGTATTACCGACAGAATAAACCAGTCAAGCACTTTGCCTGGTTGGTGCCAGTGAGTTTTCACCCCTCGGGCCAAAACTGGGAACCCAACATCAGCCCAAATCCACATGGCACGTCCTCAGGTCTTTCATGGATTGAGCTGCAGTGCGGTTCATAAAGCGGGACTAGGGCTTTCCGCACTCGGGTGCTGCATACCCCGGAATCCCGAAAGCATCAAACAACCTGGCTGCCAAGAAGTCTGTGAAGCTACGTTTTGCACTTGAAAATGCATGTCAGTCAGCTTGCCGCCCATCCGCTACAAGTGCAGAAGAAACTGTTTCAAACGCTGCTTCAATCGTCTTGTCGTTGCTTGTTGAACCCAATGAAGCTAATGCCACAGAGCTGTGGAACACATCTGCGTACCATAACACTTCGAAGATACTTGCAGCCGAATTGCACTTAGCATCTATATGAAAAAGGCAGTCATGAAACCGGATCAGATCACACCGTGCGCAAGCACGCCACATAAGTTTGGGCGGAGCAAGTTCCCAGTCTCACATTCGCAGTGGCATGCCACGACACCTGTGCTGTAAGTGCGAAGGACGCCTTTTGTCTGCAGGTCCTATTAGTCGTTTGTCTTTGCTTGCGATTGTGCCCAGCATTTCGACAACAAGTTGCTGGTTCGATCAAGTAGTGAATGCTTGCGGCTCAAGGATCAGGGATGAAACGATAAGGATCATCAAGGTGTGCAGAAAAGTCACCAACAGATCAACATAACTGCTGAACATGGAAAAACAGTGAAGCAACCTCTTCATCCACGCCAGCGACCTCAGAACTGCAAGTGGTGGGATCTAACGAATCCGAAGACTTCTGGGAACTTTCCGTCGGGCTGGGCCGAGGGAATGGGAAGCGTGTTACCGCCACTGCGCCGCCTCTTAGGTCGCGCTGTTGCGCTTGCAGGTGGGCAAGATCTACAAGGCGACTCAGAAGCATGACTTAGATACTTCAGCCCCTGAGCCCTCCTGGCCCTACAGCAAAGAGCAATGCCTTCAATTCGCTCTCCTAGCAGCTTTATGCTCTGCCCGAAATTCAAACTTTGCGACGCCAGCTCTGTCGACACGAAGCTGTTCGTAGCATGATTGGTTGATTTGAGGCAGTTTGCCCAAGACAGTGTGCTCCAATCCTGCGTGACATCTGTATAGCGCTCATTGACGGAATGGGAGGGGCATTCGAAACCGTTGTGCGTCTTCATGGGATCGGGATATGCAGGGTATGATGATCACGCTGTCAAGCTCTCATCCCCAAGCCATGCTCGTCGCCTTCATCGCCTTCATCCCAGCTTGCAAGTCTTAAACGCAGTCCTTGAATCCAAGCTTCGGGTAAATAAACCCCAGCAAGAGCCATTAATCCTAAACTAAGCCTGAATCCAAGCGCTCCGGCTGAAGCTTCTTGCACTGCCTCACAAAGCTCGCAGAAGGCTTGAAGCTTTTTGTCGGGCCTGAAGATTTTAGTGGGACTTTGATTTGGTATATTACAGCCTAGTTCGACAAGGACTTCGTAGGGGGTACTATAACTAACTATCTCTCTCTCTATATATATATATATATATATATATATACGTACTTATTCAAATTACATTACGGCCCAACAAGTTTTATATGGTGCTAGAAGGGGTATAGATACAATCTAAGGGGCTTGTAGGCTCTTGCATTGACTGCTTCAAACACGACCTTCCAGCCGACCCAGAAAACTTTACAGACTCAGCCCCAAAATCATAGACGGCAACCGAAAGCAGGGTGTATCACAACCACCATGGCGGTCATCGCAGCTACGCTATATACAGATCTGCAAGCCCCAGCCCAGGGCTTTGCCTTGCCTTTCGTATCGCATCCGCATCTAAATCCATCAGGGCAGCCAGGAGCTTGCGGTGAGCTGCACCTCACACTGTCCCCAAGCTGTTTGAATTCATGCAGTAGGTTACTGGGCATGGGCAGTACCATACAGAGTTTGTCGTTTCTACAGAGACCGCATCCCGCGTGTTATCGTGTGAAAAATTCGGCACTCACACCCGGTCCAGGTAGGCAAGACCCATCCGCGGTCTGCCATGCACTTCATAGGCAGAGACGGCCGAGGTATACCTATATAGGTAGCTCCTGCAGCGCTCTGCACTTTCCATTTGCTTGCAGCTGCCGCAGCCTACGTGCCAATGAGCTGTCACAGTGGCATCATGCAAAGGTTGTCGAGCACAGCTGTCACATCCACTTGGAAGAATGCCTTGACCTCTTGCGTGACAGCACCCTCTCAAGCGTCGCGCTTTGACATTTTTGTTTCAACATCCTAGAATCCTAAGCCACAAAAGACCTCAAGCGACTTGCGAACCCAATCCCTCGAGGCTAATACCCACATGCCCTCAACTCAATCTTAAACCCTACATAATCAGGAACCCCGCCCCATCAAAAACCCTCCAAGAACACGATGTCTCGAGAGCCACGCTTCGGGGAGACTCCTGGAGAACAAATGCTTAGGAGGTTGCTTCCTCTGGTTCCCCGGGTTAGCGGCGAGTTTAAGATCTCTTGAGGCTCCTACGGGCCGGGTGAATGCCGACTCGGAATGCTGTGCGGCAGATCGCTGCTAGGCAGCCAAGAGCTTCCGAATCCAAAGATACCACGAACAGAGGCCCTTTATAGTGACTACAGATCGAAGCCAACAAAGACATCTGCTCGGTTGAAGTGGATTGAATCACAGAATCACAACTGGAATGACACCACCCTGCCAGTGCCACTGTTGTATCACGAAGGCTTTGGTATCGGATGCCACCTTTGCAAACGGAGGCCTCTGAGACTTAAAACATTGCATCGCAGTTGTCACTGTCATTCCGATGCACCCGCACTACAAAGACATCTGATCTGGTAATCTGGTAACTTAGTAACTTAGTTTCAATAAACTTCAATACCTTTAGGCTTTATTCTATGTTATTCTAAAGGACAAACAAAAGACAACACGAAGGGAAAGGATCGAAGGCAAGCCCGTCGCAAGCAAATGCTGAACTCTAAGAGCTGGCAGCCTTTCCTGGCTTGAAGCCCTCGTCATACCATCCCTCTGCTGCAAGGAAGGCGAAGGTCGCAACGGTCCTTGAGCGCCTCGGCTGCTTTGGCCTTCGGCTGGACCTTGTATGCAGGCACGGCAGAGGTTCAAGGATGTCAGCCGCAAATGGCACAGATCTGAATTCAGCGAAGGTTCAGCAAATTTCAGCAAAGATTTATTTGGCAGGGATCCCGCGGCAATGGCATCGAACCCAAATCATCAAATCCGCAAGTTTAAACTCACAGGCTGCTCAGGCCACATTGTAGAACCTATATGCATCGGGCCCCTTCGCTGGAAACCCATAATGCGGAAGCAGAAAAGGAGATCAGGGCTCAGACTGGACAGTCTTGCTAGGTAGGAGGGAAAAAAGCTGTAGGGTTTGAGTTATGTGGTTTCTGTTTGGAGGGAGGGGGAAAAGGGGGTCCTGTTTCCAGCATATCGGAAATCCGGAGGGTAGTTAGTGTTTCGGGCTATGGAGTTGCGCGCGTCAAGCATGCGCACCTGCCTCCCAAACTCAACATCGCACCGCGATCCTAAAAGGCTACCCCAGAAGTGCATGTACCTATGAAGCTTCCTCAAGCCCTACAGCCCAATAACTAACTTGCTGATAACTCCTCAGGTTTTTGCGCAATGGCCGTCAATAGCTGTCCCGCGGGGCCACAGTAGGCAATTTACTACATGCCTGACACGCTGTCTGAGCCGTCTCGTGATAGAGTCTTTTGTCGCGATGTGTATTAGTAATAGCGAAGTTTTCGATAAACTAAAGCTGACCTAGGAACAGCCACCGTCATCAAACACAGCTCTTAAATCCCCCCATAAAAATCTCCCAATGCATCCCCGGAATCTCAAAGCCCCGCAGCACCTGCCAAGTTCGGAACTCAACAAGAAATCCAACAACCCCGGCACCACGCCTTCGCTCGAGGAGAAGCAGGGGAAGGATTGGCCTGGCTGTTCTATCACGGTTGCGGACTGCGGCTCTCTGTTTGCAAGCACGAGTTCGGTTCGGTCACAGAGGTTTGTCTCTAAAGCCCAGAAGGCCTGGACTCTCAACTCTCTAGATGATACACAAGACTATAGACTATACCCATTGCGAAGATCGATGATCGCCACAGCCTCCAAGAGTCATAGAAGCATAGAAGTTTCATGCGGGGTTGCATTGACCCATCTGACATTGACATGTCCCCTTTCGAAA